CTCTTCCTTTTTTACCCTTGCGCGGAACCTAAAGCATAGCTACCGCAAAACCGACGACTAAAGAATTACGCTAGAGACTTGTTTTCATTTGTTTCTTTCACAAAGAAGCCCCTCCCTCCGTTCATTTGCTCGCTGCTTGGTTTTACATTATCTGAGGATTCTTTATTCGCGGAGAGCGGCGTGGGTGAGCGGGAAAAAAAAAGGAAGAAAATTGCCCTTGCTTCGACATGGGATGAAGGCCTATGATTTGCCGATGAAGCCAAGGATGTTCGATATGGATATTTTAAAGTAAAGAAATTGAAGGTTGATGGATATAGATATAGTCGGTCTTAGGATATAAATTGCCCGACGACGACAATCGTCCGCTGCCGGGTACACACACCCTCGATATAACAAGGCTGAAAATTTTCGTATAATAAATATTATCCGATAATACCATATCAAATAATATCATATAATTAGTTTTACTCTGCATCAACAAAAACCGGAATCAAATTTTCCTTATCGAGCTCATTTAATTCTATTCGTTCATACTTATTGGCCGGTTTGATGAAATCTCCGCACTTAACATTACCATTTCACGAAGATAATTTCATTGACGTTCTTTCCACTATATTGTATACATTAAATATTTAACATTAATGTTAGACAGATCAAATAAGTGTTTTGAGACCTTTTTTTTTTTTTGAACGTCGTTATCGATAGAATGGGGGATTCCTTTAAGAGTACTCATAAAAAATATAGAAAGGGCTCTCTCTTGACATACAAACTCAATTTAGGCAGCAAAAAGGCCTGTCACGACTCCCGGCTTAAATCTCACACCTCCACATAAAAGGATAAAAATGAAAAGACGTAGAAGGAGAAGCAGAGTCGCAGACAACCCCCATTGTTTCTCAATCCTCACTCACCCTTCCGTTAACGCCCTCGCGCACAGACACCCGAGCAAAATCCGTTGCACACTCTCTCAACAGCAGCCACGGACCCGAGTGAGAGAGAAGAACCATTTGCCGAGGTTACAAACGGTCTCTCAACACGATCAGCGATTCCTCAGCTCTTCTTTTCATATGGATCCGTGTTTTCACGCAGCCTCCTTCTACGCTTTGTGTGGCGCGCCGCAACCGAGGGCTTATTTACGGTGGAAGGAACACAGGGTGCAGACACCACTCACCTACATTTGCATAAATGCCACTCGGTCAATTTCGACGCTGGGCTTTGTGAAAGGACTCTGTGATCCGATACGGCAGGTATACGTAGATCGACAGATGAAAAGCGAAAGGACGAGATTTGCTCGCCGATACAGCGCCATTCGGACATTCTCTCGTCCAATATTTCTTCTCTATATTTTCCCTCTGCGTTTTATCCCTTTTTCGAGTGATTCGGAGTGGTTTTGTGTCTGTGTGGGTAGGACAGTGGAAGCCACTGTTGCCTCTGTCGTGATCGCCACCTATGCTGGCAGCGCACACAGCGACCTTAATCACTGAATCAAAAATCTGACACGCAGGAAATAGTTTTCGGGAGATGGAAGAGGAGCGTGGAACTGGACATTTTTACAACGCAAAAGTACTGTGAGATTTATTTGCGAATAAATTGTTTCTGTATTGAACCTATTTATTTATTTTTTATTTTTTTCTTTTTCTTCTTATAACGAAGGAAAATTATTTAAGTGATAATCGAATATTTGAGCGCCAAATTAACGATTAGTAATACAGGAAGATGACCCCAAAATGATATAGGAATTATTTTAATATTTTAAAAACAAAATATGGTTTCCAAAATTTCGAATAGATTTTGCTGAATGAATTCTTTTGGATAAAAAGGGAAGAATAGTTTTGTCAAAGCTTCGATACTTTACATGGAATGTTCGTTTATATATTTTTCAGATTGATAGGAAGCATTCATATTTCGTTTTATTACATTAGAAATATTCTAAAAATGCTTTTTATTCCGTGCAATGTAAAAATTTTATCATTTCATGTAATTACGCAAGCTATGGTTTTCTGGAATCAGGGAAAAGCGAAAGAATTTAAGTCGTATGGCAGGTAATTAGTATGGAATTATCGTTTTG